TTTGTTCTTCATATCGAATTTCAATTTAATTTGAATGAACAGGGTGATCTGTACGACCACGACAGCTTGGTGAAGGCGATCAAGCAAGTCGACGTTGTTATATCCACCGTTGGATCATTGCAATTGGCCGATCAAGACAAGATTATTGCTGCTATTAAGGAAGCTGGAAATGTTAAGGTTGTTGTCCCTTTTGTCCTCCCCAGTTGTTTTCTGAAGGATTGGGACAAAATTGTGACATTGTTAACATTTTTCTATTTTTTTCGTAATAACTCTTGCAGAGGTTTTTCCCGTCGGAATTCGGGAACGACGTGGACCGGACTCGGGCGGTCGAGCCCGCGAAGTCGACTTTCGAACTCAAGGCCCAAATCCGTAGGGCCGTCGAGGCACAAGGCATTCCGTACACATACGTGTCATCCAACTACTTCGCCGGCTACTCGCTTCCTTCTCTGCTTCAGGGGAATTTGACTTCTCCTCCTAGAGACAAAGTTACCATCTTAGGAGATGGCAATACCAAAGGTAATAATGTGAATTATGATTACATTTTGATTGAGGTGAATTCTTGTTTTCAAATTGTGGTTGTGTGTGTGTTGTTTTAGGTGTGTTCAATTACGAGGAAGATATCGGGACTTACACGATCAAGGCTGTCGATGATCCGAGGACGCTGAACAAGATTCTCTACGTTCGGCCGCCCAAAAACATATACTCGTTCAACGAGCTCGTGGCTCTGTGGGAGAAGAAAATCGGGAAGACTCTCGAAAAAGAATACGTGTCCGAAGAACAACTGCTTAAGCAGATACAGGGTGAGTCGTCGAATCGTTAATTATACGACAATGTCATTTTGTGAAATGTTGTTTGCTTGTTAACTTAATTATCTGTTGTGATGTTTTTTTGTTCGCAGAATCGCCGATTCCGTTTAACATCATACTGGCAATCAACCACTCCATTTTCGTGAAGGGCGATCAAACTTACTTTGAAATCGAGCCATCGTTTGGGGTCGAGGCCTCGGAGCTTTATCCGGACGTTAAGTACAAAACTGTGGAGGAGTACCTTGATCAGTTCGTGTGAAAGAAAAATGTCGTACATTGGTGTATGTTTGGTCTTGTGTTTTTCAAGTGCTTTGGTATGGTTTCTTGTATGTCGTCCTTGCTGCTTGTTGTGTTTGTTGTTTAATAATGGAAGCATTTGGTTTGGTCAATAAAAATGGAGATTGCTTGAGATTTGATTACTTGTGTTGTTTTCATGTATGGTTGTCTTTTTGGCATATTTATCTGTTGGTGATTTTTCTTTCATGAGTCTCATCTAAGAAGAGAGCAATTTGTTCGGATATATCAAATTAATCACTTTAAGAGCACTCACAATATATTAGGTTAAACGAAAATTTTTTCACCCATATTTCAATCGTTGGAATCATCAAATCCAACGAAAATTCAAATAGAAAACTCATTACACCGTAATATTTTTGCTGAAATTCCGTTGGAATCAATTGAAAAATTTCAATGAAAATAATAACATTGAGATCTATTGGAGTTCCACTGGAATATATCTCGTTGGAATTCCAACATTTTCTTGTAACGATTGCTAATACATAAAGGTAAAGACATGGTATTATAAAAGAGCTTATAACACATATCAAGGCAAAATATCATTTTGGTCTATTATATTGGTCATTTTTCAGAAATGGTCCATTAATTTGGCGGACATCAAACTTGATACAATAAGTTGTAAAATTCATCATTTTTGGTCCATAAGCCTACGTGGCGTTTTATCGGGCGAATACGTGGACAAGTTTGATATCTGCCACGTAGGCTCGTTATTCAGCCGGAGTGATTAATGGACCAAAAATGATGAATTTTACAACTTATTTATCAAGTTTGATGTCCGCCAAATTAGTGGACCATTTCTGGAAAATAGCCAATATAATGGATCAAAAATAAAATTTTACCCACATATCAACATAGAAACTTGAGCCTTAACAAGCTGAACTCATTATCGACCTATTTTGTTTGAAGGCTCTACTCATAAATAATTTTTTTTAAAAAAAAAATACATAGAATTGGTAAATGAAAGTAGAAAAATAATTTTGTCTTACCTCATAAGATTGCTAGAAAAATAATTTTGTCTTACTCTTACCTAATAAGATTGGTCTATACGATAACAAGATAACATAAGGTTGTTTATTAGACGCAGACATAATAATCAGAATTATAATTTTAGTAAATTATATGTACTTTAACATATTTAAACATCTTACTTTAAAAATTATCAATATAAACAAGACAACGATGTTTCACCACACAAGTATGATTTTTTTTTTCATTAACAAAAATTTTGCAGGAGAAATTAGGGTGAGATTTGATATAGATTTTCTTTTTTAAATCTTTTATAGTCAATAACCACCTAAGTGTAGAGTGGCCAAATCACGGGCCGGGTCACGGCTCAGGCCGGCCCACCGTGTCTGTAGGTCTCAATTTAAGGTCCCGTAACCGGCCCGTTGATTTCTATGAATGGTTCATTGAATCGGCCCTGAACCAAAAAAAAAAAAATATTCACACAACACCACCGTCCGTCTTTTAACTCGCGGCCCGACCCAGCCCGGCTCGGACGGCCGGGACAAAGAAAATAAATAAATAAATAAATAAATAAATAAAGAACTGGAAACGACCCGCATGGCCATGGTTCCGGTTCTGTGAACCGCCAAAGCACGGGACGGCGGGCCGAGAATCGGCCATTGGCCACCTCTACCTAAGTGGTTAAACTTCACCGTTGTTTGTTTTCCTTCAATTCTAAGCCTTGGGTTGCATTTGAGATGGAAAGCAAACCAAATAATAGTAAGATGCATGCGACATTTGAGCAGCATTATTAATTATTATGTTTGTAGGTCGGTGTTGATAAGCACTTGAACATCGATATAATATTTGCTTGGTTGTGGTCATCTATACTTTTAAAAGCCAACCTATTTACCAAAAATAATAGCAAGAAAAGTCAACTCACATTTAATGCATACTTTATTTGGAAATTTTTTATTATATGCATTAATTGCTTGATATATACATTTCTTATTCAAATATGATCAAAAAGATTTTTTTCTTAAATAATTTTATTAACTTCTGCAATGATTTTAATGATATATATTATAATTCATATATGTCGATAGTATTTTTTAATTTTTATTTGAGTATATAAAAAATAAATATTTTTTTAATTTAATATTTTATTTATAATTTAAGAGATAATGACACATCATTAAATGATTTTACTGATGACTAGATAATAAATTAAAATACATTAATTATTCTTTAAAATTTTGGCATGTTATTTATTTGTATATCTATACTTATTATATAACTTATCCTATTTATCAAATTTAGTAGATTGAAAAGTCAACGTAATTAATGCATTGCTATTTCTATCCAGAATTTTATTTAATTATTTTATTTATTTGTCTTATATCTCTTAAAATCAGTTTAAGAAAAAAAAAATCCCATAACATCTGACAAGTTAAAAAAAAGACGTAAAATATTTACTAAAATTAAAAGACTTTATTTATTTGTCTTATTCCATATTAACATCGATTTTTTTCAAAACAAATCCCATAAAATCAGTGAAGTCAAAATTTGTACGTAAAGTCTATCTATACTAAAAAAAATCAGATTCAAAATTCTTTATAATTCTTTTTTTTTCTTATCTAATTCTTTTCATTATCTAATTGTATGAAAATCTGTTCTGATTTTGTTCAATCCTCTAATTGTATTTGTATTATATTCCATAAATCGATTTAACAAAAAAAATCCCACAACATTCGATAAGTAAAAAAAACAAAGTACGTAAAATATTCACTAAAATAAAAAAGGCTTTATTTATTATCTAATTGTATGAAAATTTGTTCTGATT